GGTGGGGCCTTGTCCACCTAGGAACCAGGAGGTCAGGTTCCATTCCCGGTCAGGGCACATGCCTGGGTGGCAGGCTCGATCCCCAGTAGGGGGCGTGCAGGAGGCAGCCGGTCAATCATTCTCATTGATGTTTTTCTCTCTGCCTCCCTGAAGTCAATAAAAATATATTTAAAAAATAATATAAGCTCATCAATTATTTAAAAAAAATTAAAGAGGGAGAGGTGGGGAGAGAAGTTTGTACCTTCAATACAACTCGGAAAGAAATTTTCCTGGGTCTGCGAAGCTGGAGGCGTTTGGGCTACCACCCTCCTCCCCTCCCCCATCCTTTATGTTACAAAGGAGAAGAGGAAAAGAATATTGAAGTTCTCTTTTATTTCTCATGTATAGCTTGTTTAGGAGATTAAGTTTCTCTTTCTTTTTCAAGACAAGGTAAATAAACTCTCATATTCATAAAAAACAAAAACAAAAACAAAACAAAACAACAACTCGGGGACAATGACGCCGATCTCAGGTGAGACGTAAGAGGGAGCGTGGAAGTCTGAGGGCGCAGGCGGTCCCGGGCTGACCCCAGACCGGGGCACTGCATGGACGAGGAGAGCCCGCGGTCTCAGCAGCGGGGGCCGAGGACATCCGACAGGTCACCGCCAGCAGGAGCGCGGACACGGGGCTAAAAGGACACGCTGGTCCACTCTCCTCCCCGGTCCCCAGGGAGGGGCTGACCTCACCCAGGGCGTGGGCTCCATCATGGCCCTGCAAGGGCACTGGCGGGGCCTGGGAACACTGGGGTCCCAGCCAGACGAGGCCCCCTCATCCACCGTGAAGGTCTAGGGGGGCGTGAGGGCTGGATCCCATGCCTGGGGTCTCCGCTGGACTCATTGATGGGGTTGGAGGCCTACAGAATGGACAACAGGGAGAACAAGGCACACCAAGCATTACCCACACAGAAGGCATTTACCAAACCACCTCACACGTAGCTGCGGACACTCTACTAAAGTATGCAGCGGAGACACGGTCAGAACATACAGTGTGTGAGGAGGTGCTGGTAGTGGGCACAGGGGTAAACATGAGAAACGTGTGTGACAGGACAGGTCCCAGGAGCCGGCATCACCGGGCCACAGAACATTGAGGAGAAGCAGGTCTAAACTGGATGGTCACCTGGGGCAGAAAGATGGCGGGGGAAGGGTCTCCCACTTGTCCCACAGCCACCTCCACCTGAGACAGTGAGGCACCTGCTGGTCCCACAATCCCCTCCACCTGAGACAGTGAGGGCCCTGCTGCTCCCACAATCCCCTCCACCTGAGACAGTGAGGCACCTGCTGCTCCCACAATCCCCTCCACCTGAGACAGGGAGGTCCCTGCTGCTCCCACAATCCCCTCCACCTGAGACAGTGAGTCCCTGCTGCTCCCACAATCCCCTCCACCTGAGACAGTGAGGCCCCTGCTGCTCCCACAATCCCCTCCACCTGAGACAGTGAGGCCCCTGCTGCTCCCACAATCCCCTCCACCTGAGACAGTGAGGCCCCTGCTGCTCCCACAATCCCCTCCACCTGAGACAGTGAGGTCCCTGCTGCTCCCACAATCCCCTCCACCTGAGACAGTGAGGGCCCTGCTGCTCCCACAATCCCCTCCACCTGAGACAGTGAGGCCCCTGCTGCTCCCACAATCCCCTCCACCTGAGACAGTGAGGCCCCTGCTGCTCCCACAATCCCCTCCACCTGAGACACAGGAACAAATTCTATTACTGTTGTGTGATAGGAACCCCACACCCCGGAGAGTCAGAGACCCCACTACACCAGAGAAAGGTTCAGAGACAGAGGACGGGAAGGTGCCTACGGGCTCTGAGCTGAGGACCAGGTAAGACCCTCGGGGCTGCAGGGGAGGAGGTCCCTCAGGGTGATGCGGAGCAGACGCTCAGTAACTGGGAGTTGGCCTGCCCTGGAGAGAGGTGAGAAGAGGGATTTCTGTGACTCCTCTCAGGGCAGAGCCCCTGATTTAAGGGAGAGGTAAAACTCTCAGGGTCCCGACGGCCTTCAGCTCGGAGTCATTTGTACGCCAGAGTGGACATCTTGGGGAGGCCTGTCCTGAACTCCTTAAATTGTTAGGAGACCTTTGCCAAAAGGCCCCCAAAATGAGTGGAACAGAGGATGTGCATGGTGACCACAGGCAGGTCTCCACTTCGCCAGCAGAGGGCAGGAGAGCGCAGAGCCCGGCCGAGGTCTCTGGGAGCGCTGAGCTGGGCGGTCTGCAGAACGCACCCTGAGAGCCATGGCAGGCATGGCTATTTGACAGGTGGTAACACCTGATCTGCTGGCACAGAGGAGCCTCCACTGAGACTCTCTCCTCACAGGCGGTCTCAGTGCACGTCTAAAACTGCACATCTGAAGCCAAGACTGAGGACCGTCAATATCGCAACCAACTCCTGCTTTTCTAGAAAAAGCCAGAATTTCTTCAAAAGGTCCACGCATTTCTACGTCCATGAGGCTCCGGGCGGCCCACAGCAGGTGGAGGACCAGTCAGCGTGGCCCTTTGGGGGCCACATAGCGGGGAGGACTCAGCACTCATCCGGGACAGTACCCCGAATGCTCGCAAACCGATGCACAGATCGGCCGCCACTGCTGTGGATAAAGACAGCGCCCGCGCATGTGCCTCCTCAGTCTGCATCTTCTTTGCTCCGGTCTATATTTTCCGAGTCCTCCATGGCTCCTTTATGTAATTTAAACAATTCAAAACAACGTGATTTCTCAAAACCTTTGTGTAGTTCACCCTCCTCACCCTCCCAGTCCCGTCTCCTCCTCCCTGCTTCATCCCCTTCCCCTTTCACCCCCTCCCTCTTCATCGGCTCCTCTCTTCCCCTCACCTCCCTTCACTCCTCCCCTCTCCCCTCCCCTTCCCCATTGCAGGTCCCAGGTGCCCCAGCCTAGGGTGGAGGTGGAGGACCGAGGTCACCAGATAACTAGTGAGGAACTGGCCGTGCTTCTCCTGCACATTTGGAGACGTTCCTGAGGTGGTCAGGGATGGAAATGTCAAGGCTGAGACCACTCTTACTTAACCTGCTACGAGGGCCAGGTGCCTCCTCAGCACACCAGGGCAACCCCCGGCGGCCACTCACATATCATCAATGGAGCCAACACGCTGGTGACCTCATGTCTACCCTGACAAGTAAACTTCCTTTTTGAAAATATATTTTTACTGATTACAGAGAAGTGAGAAGATTGAGATATTAGTGATGAGAGAGCATCATGGATCGGCTGCCTCCTGCACGCCCTAACCTGGGGATCCAGCCCACAACCTGGGCCTGTGCCCTGACCAGGAATCGAACTGTGACCTCCTGGTTCATAGGTCAACACTCAACTTCTGAGCCACACGGGCCAGGCTAAACTTTCTTTTTAAAAATGTATTTATTGCTTTGAGAGAGAGAGGAAGGGAGAGAGAGAAGCATTATCTGTGGCTTCATTGATGCATTAAATGGACAGAGACAGGAACAGGCAATGAGGCAGGGGTGGGAGGGTTGCTTGCTAAAGACAAGACAATATATTTTTGCTTCTGCCGCTGACCACAGCACGTTCTTAGGTCTCCCAATGTTTTCCAAATGATGGCAGGCCCCCAGTCACAGCTACAGTGACTGGATTTTCACTGACTGCCTCCCTGTCTCCACGCCAGCTGAGTGAGAATATCTTTACAGTCTGTGCTTTGTGTCTGATTCCCAGGCCCCGAAGGGCACAGTCCCCTGGAATCTCAGCCTGGATTAATGCTGTATGAGCTCTCCCCTGCGCTCCAGTTTCAATTAGGGCTCTCACAGCGCCATTCAGTCTTGCAAATTGCTGTCAGCGGGGACTGAGCCGCCGAGCTCTCCGACAAGTCAGTCAGGCCTGAGGTTCCACGGGGCTCCTGGTGGTGCTGCAGCTGCTCGCACCCGCTGCTCGCCCAATCGGGAAGACTCAGGGCGGGGCGGCGCCTCTGCTGACCAAGCACACCGAGCCGTGCCCTCTTTGGAGGAAGTGTGTTAGCGCTGCATGTAAATCACCAACATTTGGAAAGTGACACCAACATCACATTTACTACACACCTTACCAAGTTCTGCCAGTTGTCCAGTACCTTTTGGACAACAAGGGACGGGGTAGAGCTAGAACCATGGATGAGCTGTCTCCTGCACGCCCCCTGCTGGAGATCATGCCTGCAACTAGGGCATGCGCCCCGACTAGGAATTGGACTGGTGACCCCTTGGTTCATGGGTCAAAGTTTAACCACTGAGCCACACCAACCGGGTGCAAACCCTTTTGCTGGGCCCAGGATGCAATGCCAGGCCACAGGTGTGCACCGCAGCCGGGAACAGAGTTCAGTTGCTGCTCTTTCCTGGTGTGGACTTAGGGGAATGAAGGCCGGTCATTTCCCAGGCTGCACCTCAGCCTGGCGTGTCCTCCTCACTGCATCTGACCAGGAGGCGTCGGCCCGCCAAAGGCACTCTGAGCAGGGACACGGCAATCACGTGGCTCTTAGCTCTGAGGGCATGATGGGATGTGGCGGCCCCTTCGACAAGGGCACTGTCTGTCAGCGATGTGGACGGGCTGCAGGGAGAGTGGCCTCACTGGGCTTCACGTCCGTTTCAGGGAGTCTGCACCTCCAGGCAGAGGGCGTCCGGTGACAGGCCGCTCTTGGCTGTTACCAAACAGCGCCCACCTGCGCACCACCGGGCTTGGCCCGGCTCCTTGCCTCCGTGGCTCCCGTCAGGCCACCGCCCCACCAGGCTGCCAGCGCAGGCATGAAGCATGTGTGGTGAAAACGGACTTCCTGGACGAAGGGAGCGGGGTAAGGGTGGAATTGGGGGAAAGGCACTGAAGACACTGGCCGAAACCTGTTTATAAATAATCTGAACATTTCATTTACTTTTAAATATATTTTATTGATTTCAGAGAGGGAGAGGTAGAAACATCAATGATGAGTGAGAATCACTGATCGGCTGCCCCTTGCACACCCCCTTCTGGGGAGCAAGCCCACAGGCCTGTAAGCCAGGCATGTGCCCTGACCGGGAATGGAATCGTGAACTCTGGTTCACAGGTTGAGGGCCAACCACTGACCCACATGGCCGGGCGAACATTTTGTTCTTTTGTGATGTGCATGTCCTACCAGACAATTGGTCTAATGCAATGAGACCAGGTGCTCTGGTTACATAACAAAACTCCAGAGTAAAAAATACAAATAGTCCTCATTTTATTTTGAAAAAAGTAAACTCATTTTTCAGTTGACTTTGGGCAGGACGGTGCCGGCTGGGGCTCCGTGCGTCTGGCTCGGTCTGTCTCCGGACAGGGACGGCTGCCCCTCAGCCCTCCCAGCCCCGAGGCAGCAGCCGGTTCAGGACGCTGCTCTGCCTCAGCGCCTGCAGCTGGGACGTGTCCTCGCTGATGACGGTGGCGCCCCTGCTCTGGCCCGGAGCCGACAGGTCGCCCTCGCTGTCGGACAGCGTGCACAGCAGGCCGTCGTTCTCGTAGGTGGGGAAGTAGTACCTGCAACAGCGGACCGGCCTCACGGACTGCGCCCACCGAGAACAGCGCGTGGACGCGGCTCAAAGGGTTTCCTCGCCAGTTTCAGCAGCGCGGCCGTGAGGGAGACCCTCTGAGTGACTCAGGGTGACCACCCTGTGAGTGTCCTCGCTGCTCTTCTACATAAAGACACGCTTGCTGGGTCAGAGGCCCCTCCTCCCTCCTCAAGGCCCGCCCTCCCCGCCTGGGTAGCAGCCTCCAAACAGAGCTCCTCCCTCACACTCCGCTCCTAAGATCGATAACAATGACTTTCCCTGTGTCTTCCCTCACCTAACCATCCTGGTTCCTTCGTTCTAGGTGATAATAATCTACAATAATAAAAGCATAATATGCTAATTAGACTGGACAGCTGGACGACCTTTCGGATGAAGCAGGGGCTTCGAGGGCCGAGCCCCTTGCACAAATTTTATGCATTGGGCCTCTAATCTCTATAGAAAAGCTCAAGTGACCGTCCAATCGTTAGCAATGGCGCACAATGACCACCAGGGGCAGACGCTCATCGCAGGAGCTGCTGAGCTGCAGTGACTTGGCAGCTGTGGTTCTCAGGTGACTCACCCAGAACCAGAGAGGAAGCCCAATTCTGGGGTGTGTCACCTGCGAACCCCCCCTCACAATCTGGAACCCCTTGGGGGACGTCAGAGAGCCGGTCTTGGCCCGATCCTCGCAGGCCAGGCCGAGGAACCCCACCGGTGCACGAATCTGGGCACTGGGCCTCTAGTAATAACAACAACATAGCTCTGTGGGCATTCCCGGGTCATGCTGTGTGACTGTGGCCAGCTCTGGGGCACCTCAGAATGAGAAGCACAGGAACAAGGCACACACCTGGGATTGTGGGAAAACCAAAGCCGTTTGTTTTAAAGGAAAACCTGTCCTAGGGCTTCCTGGCTAGAGTTCTGGGGGACCTGATGGGACATTCCCTGGGAACAGAGGGACCCCCCAGCCTCTCAGGCCACCCAACGCGGCCACTCACTCGGGCTGGTCCCAGGTCCTCCTGTCGGGGAGCAGGCCCGCGTGGCTGGCCTCCGCCAGGTGGGCCCCCAGGTCGGCCCTGGACGGGAACCTGGCGCAGCAGCCGTAGCAGCGGCCCTGGTGAACCTGCCGGCGGATGAAGTTGACCAGCTTCACTTGCTCATAGAAATTCAGTCCTGAGGGAGGGAAGTGCAGAGTCACTCTGCGTGTTTATCTACTGCTAACACAGGCCCGTCTGTAACACATACACACGTGTCTGTAACACACACACACACACGGCTACAGAAGCACAAAGCACAGTCACACCCAGAGGCGGGAGGGAGGCTGCTGTGTGTGAGACGAACTTCTCATGGTCTGGACCATCAGCGAGCCCTCCTGTGCTCAATGCCTGAATCTTTGTCACCGTGACCGAGAACCAGGCACGGCGCTTCTGTGATGGCGAGTCCGGCTGCACCCCAGCGGCACGAGGGGTCTTGGGCACACCGCCCACGCCCTGTCCCGTTCGCCCCAGGCCCGGGTGCCCAGCGGGACGGCAGCTGGACAGGGACCTCTGCTCGGCCTCTGGCGGACAGTGACCATGAACCTGGATTCCACGAGAAGCTGCCACATCCGCGGGCAAGGGGAGGGGACCACCCGAGGCCAAACCCCGCTGTGAACACGAGTTCGGGCAGCGGTGGGGACCGTCTGCGGGGACGAGGTGGCGTGCCCTTCCCTCACGACCTTGGCACGGCCAATAGCGGCGCAGCACTGAGTCCGACTCACCGAGCTCGGCCTTTGTCTTGAGGAGGTCAAAGCCGTGCGCCTCCTGGAAGAGGGATGGCAGAGCTGTGAGCAGGTGGGTACTCCATCTCCCACCGGTTCACAGGAGCCTGACCCTGAGGCCCCGTCTCAGCTCACCGTCCCGGTGTCTGATATCTTGACATCTAGCTACTCCCTGACTCCACACAAGCCCGCCCATCAGCCGAACCCCATCACCCGCCTGTCCCCACGGTTCACTCCGTGGGACGCAGTGTGCAAGGGGTGCCCCCAGGGAGAATGGCTTCCGGCCTGGTCGGAACGGGACGGGAGCTGTGGGCGGGCTCTGTCACACTGCCTCTCCGTTTATGCTGTCGCTGACAAGCGCCGGCTTCTGTTATGCACACCTTCCCACAGTCACGTCTGAAGCGTCTCACGGTGCAGAGGCTCATTTTATTCTGGCCCGTCCCCGTCACGTCCACCTGGGTGAACGGCTGAACGCACAAGCGCACAGAGCAAAGACCACCTCACCCTGGTCTTTCAGGGCCCTGGGGCTCCGGTCAAGGGGGCTGCAAGGGGACCCCCACACAGGGCGGGACACAGCTGCTTCCGGTTCTAACATGTCGGACACTGTGAATTACACGTGCACAGGGGGACACTGAATTACATGTGCACAGGGGGACCATGCACACTGCCGGCGGCTGGTGCGGACAAGCCGCCCTCTGCTGCATCTGTGTGTGCCCGTGGCTTTCCTGGACCCGCCCTGTCCTCACTGCGCTGAGCAGTCTCTGACCAGGGTGCAGGGAGTGGGGGGAGGGGGGGCAGGCAGTGGAGTCGCCCCTGTGGGCACAGGTGGGCGGGGCATGTCTGAATCTCTCGGCCGGGCAGTCAGCCCTCAGCCCCGTGTCCAGCCGCAGTGCTGTCCTGTCCTGAGACACGGCTGCCCTCTCCCAGGGGCAGGAGGCTCCTCTTCGGCATGTCCCGGGTGGGACAGGCTCAGAGCCGCTCACTTCGAGCTTCTTTATAAAGAAGGACGCACCCCCTGGGATCTCTGCTCTTCTCTCCAAACCCCAGCCCCGAGGAGCTGCCAGCCCACGCCTGGGCGCCGTCCCTCCCCGCCCCCTGCGTGCGCCCGGGCCGTGGGCACGAGCTGTGACCTGCCTCCCGCTTCCCGCACCTCCGCTCCGGCGCGGAGGGAGCTCCAGGACGAAGGGCTCAGCCTGGCCGCCTCCGCGGAGGACGGGGTGAAACGAGCCTCAGCGTCCGCCTCACCTCCATGTGGGCGCACAGCTGCTCCGTCGTCCCCGCTTGCTCCTCGCAGAACAGACACACTGCGGAGACGGGGCGCTCCTCCCAGTCCGACCAGTCCCTGCGCCAGCAGAGCAGGCAGACAGACCTTCGTTAGAGCCCCGTGCATCTCCCCCGCCGCCCCCCCTCCCGCTCCGCAGTTTTGGGGAGACTGTCTACACGTCGTGGCGCTGATGCAGCCTCCGATGGCGGAGCAGCCCGGGAAGCCAGGGTGAGAGCCGGAGCGGCTTGTCCTCGGGCCCCTGCTCCTCTGAGCCGACTTCCCAGGGACCAGCGCCGGGCTCGGGGAGGCCACGTGGGGTGTGCTCATAAACACACCGAGGGGCATGCGCCCTGCCGGGGGTGTCCCACGACAAACGCTGTGCTCTGACAGCACACTGCACCTCGTACGGGAACCAGCTACTGTCTGCAGTGGGGCAGGTGGCAGGTCAGTCAATGGAGAACTCACAAAGCGCAGACCCCCCTTTTTTGTTTTTTACCATTTCCTCCTCTCCTTGCATTTCGTTTTGAGACACTGCCAACCTCTGGTCATTCCTAAACCAGGACACCAAGCTCAGCCCTGTGGAGAGGGCCACGGGCCGAAGGGCACTGCCGGGGGGGGCGGGGGCCTTCCAGGCTGAGGGCCCGCATTCAGACTTCCCGCCTCTGCCACACGTGTCCTCAGTGTCACCACTGGGCTGAGCGGATGACCGTGAGCCAGTCACTTCCCAGCATGGAGCTCAGTGTCACCCCTGGGGCCAGGAGCCGGTCAGGCTCCGGGTCACCCTCTCCGAGGGGCACCTGGCCTGGGTGCGGCCTGCGCACTGGTCACAGCGCCGTGCACACCCGCCTGGCGGGGACACAGCAGCTGCAGTGGCTTTGGGGGAGTCCTGCTGAGCCCAGTCTTGCCGCACCTCACGCAAGGCTGCGTGGCTGAGAGAAGGGGTCCCCCGTCTCCTGTCGCCCCCGTGGTGTGTTAGACCGACCAGAGAACCGCCCGATCCCGACACCAACCCATCGGCAGTGCCCGAGCCTCACTCTTCCTGGTGCTCCAGCAGCTCCCGGTCATCCTCCGACTGAACCTCTTCCCACGATTTCCCAAGTTCCTTTGCAGGAGACACAGGGTTAGAGGGGGCGGCGAGGGAGAGTGGACAGACTCCGCAGCAAACCCATAGGCAGTGGTTCACACACACACACACACACACACACACACACACACACACTGCGGGGGGGGGGGGGCGCATCGGCTCTGACACAGGGAGGAGGTGTGGCTCCCAGCGCTTTCTCTCTGGAGAAATATAAGAGCCCCCTTCTCCCCCCGGCCTTCCAGTCACTGTAACAAACCCTCCGTCCTTCCCCGTCAGTACAAACCCTCCCGGGCGTTGCGCACATGGAGGACGAGATCCCGATCCTTGCCATGGCCTCCGGCTCCACCTCCTGCTCAGGTGCTACCACCAGACACCCTCTCTGTCCCAGCTCCTCCCGCCTGGCTGTGTCACCTCCTAAAACACGCCGCTCACCTGTGCGTTCCCCTGCCTACACGGCTCAGCCTGGCTAAACAACAGCCCTCTTCCCAGTCGCTCTCTATTTCTCGGTTAGGCCCTAACCCTAACCTTTTGCCGCGAGCCGGCGGTAACACATCGGCAGCAAACCACAGCCCCTCTCAGTGCATCTTCAAACACGCGAAGCCTGCTCCCAGGGGAATGTATTCAGCTTGGGTTAGGCAGAACACACGGAAATCCCACCCAGAGCAGACACAGCACATAGTTCAGGACATGCTCCTCTGTCCACAGGTACGGTGGCTGATGGCCATCCACGGGCCTCCTGAGGCCTGCGCCGTGTGCCAATCCTTCGCTGCGAGAGGAAAGCACTTCCTGTGCTTAGGAGCGTCAGACACGGCACCTTCTGTCCAGCCACCAACAAGCAGTGGTTTTCCTAATGTCACTGTGCTAACCATAACCCCATAAATCCCCCATGCCCCTACAACATGCCTCCTCTGAACCCCTTTTCCCAACCAGAGGAACTGTCACCTCAGGGCCCGTCCGTGGTTCTGCGGTCTCTGAGCAGGCGAGTCTCAGGGTGGAAAATCCACTGCCTTGTGACCCCGTGTGTCCATCCTAAAAGCCACACTCGTGGCACTCCTCTTGCCAGTGAAATGGCTGAAATTACTTGGTTTCTCTAAAATTCCCATTATGAAGAGGGCTCGGGTTGTGTGGTTCAGTGGTTGAGCACTGACCTATGAACCAGGAGGTCAGGGTTTGATTCCCAGTCAGAGCACATGCTCAGGTTGTGGGCTCCACCTCCAGTGTGGGGCGTGCAGGAGGCAGCCAGTCAGTGATTCTCTCTCATCATTGATGCTTCTCTCTTTTTCCCCTCTCCCTTCCTCTCTGAAATCAATACAAACACATTTAAAAGGATAAAATTCCCATTAAAAATAAACTGGCACAAGAGAATAATAAAGGTAATTTGGGGAGGGTGGGGAAAGGAGGGGTTTTTGATGGGAAGGAGGGAAAAGTGAAGAGATTTTTGCTTTAAAGAATTATCTAGCACAGCCCAGCTCGGCCAGAGACCAACACCTACTTCGGGTTGGAGCCCCGAGGCCTGGCTCAGGCGGCAGACCCGTTATAAACGAGTGCGTGACCACCACGTGCTTCCTGGGCGCTCACTGTTCAGTGTTCTGTGTGCTTTGCACACCCTGCCCCAGCCAGCGGCCGCTCTGCGTGCCCGGGGCAATCAGCCTCGGCACGGCCGCTGGCTGGCCCGGAAGCCGGGTGGGAGCGGTGGCGTTGCAGGTGGAGGAGGAGGAGGAGGAGGAGGAGGCGGCGGCGGCGGCGGCGGCGGCGGCGGAGGAGGACGTACCAGGTAGTTGATGACGTAGAACCGGTCGTACTCGCGGTTCCGCGGGTTGATCTTGCGGTGCTGCTTCTTGCGCATGTGGTCCTTGAGCAGGCTCTTGTCCCTGAAGGTCCGCTCGCAGTACAGGCACTGCAGGCTGCAGGCACAGGCGTCAGGGGCCCGCTGGGCAGCCGCTGGCTCACTAGCCGGTCACGCGTGTTCGTTCTAGGCCACGCAGCACCTCCCACTGGGCGCGCCCCCTCGCTGGCCCCATTCCACGTGCCTGGCTGGCAGGATGCTTTTGTATTTCTGAGTTTGCTAAGCTGGCTCTTCAGTTAAAACCAAAACAAAGAGAGCTAACCCCCACGTTACTTGGGTGTTTACTATTACCCTGCCTGGCCGCACAGGCAAACGGAGGCTGTTCTTCAAAAGACCACGGTAACGCGTGGCTGCGCCCCCAAGCGCAGCGGCGAGGCCCGTCGGGTGCCCTGAGAAGGCGGAGGGCGCACAGCCTCTGCAGCGCACAGGAAGCTGAGAACATACATGTGCAGTATGTACGCCGCACTGACAGGGTGGAGTGAGGAGTACAGAAATCCCACATCCACTGTCAGAACTGTGGTTCGGGAAACGCTCTGAGGAGGGTGCGGGGAGCAGGAACGCAGCCCCAGGTGCCCCATTTCCCAGGACGGATGCGAGCGTGCGCCCCCCAGCTCACTGCACACACCTGAGGAGGAACGCAGTGCTGGGGATAGGTGCCATCCTCCCTTAAAAACCACAAAGACAACGGGATCCGCACAGAACGGGACTGTCGCACCCAAGAGCGGTGCTCCGCCGTGAAAACCGGAGTCCGTTTCTGTGGTCCCGTCACTGGGTTTGCAGCAGCCCGGAGTCCAGGACCAGGTGCAGGCTGTGCTGCGGAGTACTCACTTGTCCAGCTTCCTCTGCAGCGTGCTCAGGAATTCGCCGCAGTACACGATGTTGTCCGGCAGCCCGATGTTGAAGGCGTGCTCTCTGGCCATGTGGTTCAAAAGCACCGACCTAGGAGGGAAGCTGAGCAGTTTGTATGCGGCACAAATCACCCAGGAACAAGTCAGGCCAGCAAGAGCGCGTGTGTAATGAGCAACAACCTAACAGAAGCACGTGCAGGTGTTCCCGACACACATACCAGGCCATGGCAAGCTCCCAGGTATGTGAGCGCCGTCAGGGCCCTCTGCGGGTGAACTGGGACCTGGCCTTACATGCTGACTAACCAGCTTTACTTTCCAGTTCATCACGGGGCCGGGAGGGACAGCTGCCCGAGACGCAAGTGACCAGCTGGGAGCTGGGGTCAGAGACCTAGTGCCTCTTTTCCAGACTAAGACCCCAACGTGCTCGCAGGCAGTTAACACGCTAACGGGGACAGCGTGTCTGCAGCCGCTGGCTCCCAGTCTTCCCGCCGGCCAGTTAAGGAAGGCATTACCCTCCTCTCTCACGGCAACCACAGTTCCCCTCGATGCCGGCATGCTTTACAAACCACTGCTGGCAACAGGAAAGGGTGTCGAGGGAACCCGTGTTCTGATGAGTTTTCACAAGAAACAGTCACGTTTGAAGACACGTATGATGGCAAACCTGTTTCCGAGGAATTCCTCATTGCAAAACATACAGACGCCATGGAAGCTGTTGTCATCCCGCTCCCGCTGCTGCTGCTCCAGGATTCCTTTCTGCGGAGAGAAGCAGCCCGATGAGGCCCAGGCAGCGCAGTGAGCGAAGGCAGCCCCGTCAGCCTGGACGGTGACATGGAGTCAACATGACCGCGGGTCAGAACTGTCAGGCCCAGCCCCTCACCGCCCTGCAGGGACAGCGCTGGAGGCGGAGCTCCACAGCCATGGTTTGGGCCGCGGGCCGACGCCCCCACACTGCCCCGCAGGACAGGGCCGGAGCTCCTGGGCCGACGGGCCACAGTGGTCCACGTGCCGTCCTCCGGCCGGGCCCACAGGGACAGAGGCCCCTGCCTGGCTGAGCTAGTCCCTCTCTGATCTGGGCGACACACGCGTGACCAGCCAGCGAACAGCTCCCTGGGCTCTGCAGCCGGCGGGTCAGGGCAGGGGGGCCGTTCTGCGGGCTGAGCCCTGAACCGCACGCTCTCGGGAAGACAGTGTCCAAAGTGAGTGAATGGAGGACACCTCCCGGTGTTGGGGAACCGCTGGATGTGGGGAACACTCAGGCGGGAACTGGGGTCAGAATTTCGATTGTCATTTACAATTAATGGATGCAGCTACTTCTAGGGACACGAGTCTATCTGCAGACGTTCAGTGAAGTCTCTGGGTCCTGCGTGACACATGGGAAGCAGTGGGGTTGGCAGTAGGAGGGTCGATAGGGTCAGTGCTGAGTGACAGGGCGGAAGCAGTGGGGTTGGCAGTAGGAGGGTCTGTACTGAGTGGCACAGGGAGGAAGCAGTAGGGTTTGAGTTCTTGTAGAGACCCTGTGGATACCCGGATTATGACCACTTGGCCATTCTCAAGGCCACCGTGGGTAAGAGTGAAAAAACTAATGGAAATTAAAAATTATGAATAAGTTTAAGCAGACAAAATCCGTAAAAGATGGCAGCAAATTGATCCCTGCTTTGCAGATGTGAGGATCTGAGGAAAGGAAAAGAGAAATGCAGGAGCCCTGCTACTTCACTGGGTTTGCTGCTACAGAAAAAGCATATTTTTCTTGCCTATAAATCAACACCCAACAATGCCAGCTTCCTTACGGGAGAATCAGCATTTGGGACGGTCACAATATATAACTCGCCTTAGGGCTTTCTCAGGTCACGAGAGAGGCCGATGGGGTTATTTTCCTCTGCGGCCCCTTGAGGGTTTAGCAGAAACAGTGAACCCCAGGTCCCTCCTAACACATCTGGCCGAGTGCAGAGGTCCCAGGGGCACTTAGAAGTGGCCCCTGAAGGAAGGACGGGTCCATCCGAGTAATAATTGAGCGCAAGCACAAACCGCAATGAAAAGCCACAGTCAGACAAAGTACTGAGAAATGGCTTTCTGCTGGACTTAGGAAAACTCAACACTCGTACACACTGCTACCTTTTTTAAGACCACAGCTGCTGAGGCATTAAAATTAGCTCTCAGGCTGGAAAGGAGAAAGGCCGCCGTGGGCATCGAGCACAGCCTCTGGCCGGATAAAAGCGGGGCCGGGCAGAGCGCATTCCAGTGAGGGGGACGTTCAACTCCCCTCCGTGTCTGCGACGGCATTCTTCCACGACGCTGACCCCCCGCATGTGTGAGGCGGTTCGGTTACACCAAATGTGGCAGCTCTGCTGCTATTTTAGAGGTGACCCAGGAGGAGGCAGAGCCCCAGTCCCCTGCTTTGAGTTTTAGATGGGTTTTTGGCAGGGAAGGCTTCATCTCAGCACGAGCACGCTGTACTCTCTGAGCGCGGGATGCGGTGCCTCCTCTGCTGGGAACGCTTGGAAGTTTCCGGAATAAAAGGAGAACCAGCAACAAGAGAAGCAGTGGCGCGTGTGTGCTCCCAGCACGTGCCTCCCTCGCACAGGCCTTACCAGCCTCTGCGCCTGCAGCTCCTCCCGCAGCACCCGGTCCTCTGGCAGCACGTCACACAGCAGGAAGTAGCTGTCCTGCTCCTCTGGGAGGGGAGAAGTCAGGGAGACGATGTTTATCATTTTTCCCAGGCCTTACTCCTTACAATATGTATGTCTATCATACCTATGTCCATATTTACTCTGTAACTTCTTCTTTATCTCTATACTTATTCATATCTAATTTATATCTATATCCTTATACACAGCCATATCTATATCTAATCTATATCCATTACCTCTACCCATATCTATGACTATATCCATACCCATATCTAATCTATATCTATATCCATACCATATCCATTAACCATATCCATATCTATGTCTATATCCATCTATATCTATATCTGTATCTGTATCTATATATCTATATCTATAACTATATCTATATCTATATATCTATATCTATAACTATATCTATATCTATATATCTATAACTATATCTATATCTATATCTGTATCTATATCTATATCTATATCTATAACTATATCTATATCTGTATCTATATCTATATATCTATATCTATAACTATATCTATATCTATATATCTATGTGTGTGTATTAAGAGCTCTCCTCTGGAGTACTGGTCCTTAGCTTTATTGAAGTTAATCAACAATAAGACAGCAGTTTCATGTAGGCTCTCGGGGAAGTGAGAGGATTCTGACTTGAGGAAGTGGGACCCCCCTGTGAATTCTGGGTCTGGGAAAAGGTGGCACTGACCCAGCGGGGCGGTGGAGTTGATGCGGATCACGCTGCAGAAGTCGGTGATGGGCTGCTCCCTGAACCGCCTCCTCCAGTACAGGACGTACCTGCGCAGGCAAAGCAAAGAGGCGGTGAGGAGACTCAACATGGCCCTTTCTTTAGAGTGACAGGATTTAAATACACACACACACACACACACACATATATATAATTGATTTTTTACAGAGAGGAAGAGAGAGGGATAGAGAGTTAGAAACATCGATGAGAGAGAATCATGGATCAGCTGCCTCTTGCACACCCCCTACTGGGGATGTGCCCGCAACCAAGGCACATGCCCTTTTCCGGAATTGAACCTGGGACCTTTCAGTCTGCAGGCTGAAGCTCTATCCACTGAGCCAAACTGGTTTCGGCTAGAGTGACAGGATTTTATATAACAATTATCCCAAAGCCACAAAGCGGATGTTGACTGAACACTGCCAGACAATTCATAAATAGAAAGGCGGCAGAACATTGTAGAAGTATAAAATAAGTATTTAATAAAGTAAAATTACTCTGTAAAGGCATGGAAATGATTAAACTTGACTATCCCCAAATTCAATAAACAGCCATATGGGAAAGTTAAAAATCAGTTATTTTATGTGATAATGAAGTTTTTCTGAAATCACACTTAATTTATATGAATTAAAAATGTACACATTTCCAATCAATGGAAAGTTGGGTGTCTATCTTAACACACCCCAATAACAGACGTCATAGTAATAATGGGATGAGAAGTCAGCCAATGTCTCCATAACAAGAGGAAAAAGCTCCAAAAAAGTTCCGCATGTGTCTGATGTGAGGCAAACTTGGCCTTTGGAAAGATGGTCAAGTTTTAAAAAATATTTAAAAAAATATATTGATTGATTTCACAGAGGAAAGGACATGGAGAGACAGAAACATCAGTGATGACAAAGAATCATCACTTGATTGACCGGCTGCCTCTTGCATGCCCCACATTGGGGATTGAGCCCTGACCGGGAATCGAACCATGACCAGCTCCCGGTCAATAGGTTGACTCTTAACCACTGAGCCATGCCAGCCAATCAAGACGGTCAGGTTTGGAATTCTTGTACCTAAGGGGCACAGTTGGAGGACACAGGCTGAGTAAAAGCAGAGCATATCTGAGGAAGAGGGGGAGAGGATGGGGGCAGCCCACTCCCATCTTCCCGGTGGCTAACTTGGCGCGGGCTGGCAGCTGCAGTCCCTCTCAGGGACGGGACCGGGAGGGTGCGGGCTCCTTCGGGGAGACAGAGATGGGATGTTGGCCGTGGCTGCGGTGACAGGAGACTTTACTCAGGGCAAAGGGCTCCGCCGGGAGAGCCCCACGGCAGCACCCTCTGTGCTTAATGGAGGTCAGGATCCCCGTTCGAACCCGGCCCTCTGGGACCTCTGCAAGTCTCTCCTGGGCTCCGGAGGCCTGGCTCAGCCAGCGCCTGTGGCCCACATGCAAGTAAGACGAGCCGGGGAGGCCCAGCCAGCAGCCTGGGCAGGGGAAGGGGAGTCCTCTGCTGGGGCCGCGGGACGGCAAGAGCGTGAGACACCCACTCCGCAGCCTCCACACTCAGGACAGAGTGCGAAGGTCCCTTAGCGCCCAGGGAAGCTAAAGACTATCAGTGTGCATGCTGCCAGTGAGCACAGTGCCGGCTGCCATGGCACAGGGGTGATTATACAGAAGTCAGGCCAGCCTCAGGAATGATCAACTCAGCTCACTTCCACAGAAACCAGCACTTACCTCCGGAAGTCAGCGACCAGCCTGACGTCGGCTATGACGAGCTTGTGCTCGATGATCATGTGCTTCAGGAGCGGGTCCTGCTGCGCTGCGGGGAAGTGCTCTTCACAGAAGATGCAGGGCACGGAGGGCGAGCCTTCGGGGGTGTCGCTGGGCCCCGCGCCCTCGGGCAGAGACAGCGCCTCCAGGATGCAGTCCCGGCCATCTGGGAGAGCGAGCGAGAAGAGAGGAGCTGACACCGGCCTCCATCGGAAGGATTTCCCTCCTGCATGAAAGGCCTGAGGTACCTGCATGTCCCCGGGATGAAGCGCACAGGCCAGCCCGCAGCACCATTTCAAACGCTCCGCCACCCGAGGGAGGAGGCTGCACACTGCTCACTCCCCGTTGGCTGCTTGCCTGGGGGACCCGTTGGGCAGGGCGGCTGTTTAACCGTGGACACTGGCCCGTGGCAACAATTCTGGGGCCCCTGGTGGGGTCTATGGCCGGGCAGCGCTGACCTGTGGCAGAGTGATTGCTGGATGGGAGGTGAGCGCACACACTGAGGCCTCAGGGACGCAGGCCAGCGTCCCAGCTGCTTCTGGCGCCCCTGCGGCCGCTCCCGCTGCTGGCTGACTGTCACACGCACAGAGGAGCTCTCACAGGGGTGGACGCTGGCAGCCCAGGCTGCAGTTCCCAATGCTGACCGACACCTCCCGTTTGCTTACACTCCATATGGATCGCAGTTCAAGGTCTTGAGAACAGAGGTGAGTGCTCAGTCCTAAGCGTACCTGGGAACGCTTGTCCCCTCTGCGCTATCCCTTTCCCTTCCACCACCTACGGCTAAGAGCGGGCCCCTCCCCGTGCATCTGGAAGAGGGGAGAGGCTGGACCCAGGCCTTTACCCACAATCCATCTCCAAAGCTGGGTCAGACGGTAAGACCCTCTTTAATTTCCCCTGGGCTGAGAATTCATTCTGTAAGGCACTGAGGCCCAGGACCGAGAGTGATGTGCAGTACTCTTGCAGGGAGTGGGGAGTGGGGAGTGGGGAGTGGGGGTGGGCACAAGCACAGGGGCGCCGTCCCCCTCCAGCGCGCCGGGCCCACCCAGGAGGCTGGCAGGGTGGCCCCCAGGGGCCTGGGGCTGCCGCTTCCCCGGGAAAGAAGCAGGCTGTACCCACACTCCATCCTCACACCTACCAGTGGCGCTCGGAGCAAGGAGCTCGTTCGCACAAGCAAAAGAGCCAGGACGCCTTTATCACATCACTGAGCAAGCACACACAGACCTGGCGTGGGCTGCCTACGAGGCCGGCCTGTACGTGAGGGCAGGGCGCCTGCCAAGGCCAGTCAGGAAGACACGGGAAAGGCTGGAACCAGGTTTGATGCTAACTGAACAGAGGCTCAATCACAGTGCACACACACAACACTTCACACCCACATACACGTACATGCACGCACATTCCAGTACAAGACTCGAAAAAAATATACAAAAGAAAAAACAATGAGAGATTATGAACAGACGTACTTATTCAAACTTTTAATACTGAATTTTTAAAGTAAAAAGCATGATATCGGACAAGTTCCTCAGTGTGAGAATTAAGAAGTAAAGCAAGTTAGTTTTATCTGGTCACCTTCTAAGTCTTAACATTTAAGATGCAAAATTTGGTTACACTTACATTTCCTAACTGAACGCCTACTATGCAGAAAATGCATGCTAGGAGCTCTCCAAAAATACAAAGCTTTACCTAAAACTCCTGTCCTGAAGTAGGTGCTCATCCAGAGGAAAGATAAGACAACAGTACAAATCATTATAATGCAAGCCAGCGTACACAAAGTTGGCCATATAAGTCAAGAGCTAAGAGCCTGGGAGGAAAGAGTAACTCACGCCAGGAGGAATGAAGGAAAGTCTGCATGGGAGGTGAACCGCAGTGCAAGCTGGGTAACATTTTACCCCGGTTAATGGAAATGTAACTGATCAGAATAGCGACAGGAGACCAGAGACCCACACACACAGGACCGCTGGGCGGGAATGGGAACAGGCGGCTGGGGAGTGCTCCTAGTTACTGACTCCAGGGGAAGGTGGGAGGGAGAGAGGACGTGGCTGGGCGCCCGCCTGCCTGTGCTTTCCAAGCGAGTGGTGTCTGGTGGAATGTGCAGAGGCCGGCTTCACTGCATCTCACTGATTGACCTGACAGGCAATTACCTCGGAGTTAAGTCAATATTTGCATGAAATGGGCTGGCAGCTAGAACATTGTAAATTACCTATCTGATATTCCCTATTACGTGTAATTAGTGTTTTGGGTAGAATCATAAATTTCTAAGTTGTGGGACTGATATTTCTCTATTTCCAAAATTAAATAGCTATGTATGTCATATTTGTAGTTTAGCGTTTGATGTCTTACTTCATCAGTATGAGTAATTTTTAGTACAACAGTTTTGTTGATATTTTGGAAATAGTAAGCAGATTAAAAATAGAAATGACTGTGTGAAATAAAATCAAATTAATCTTTAGTGATACAATGTGTTTCTATAATGTGAGTTTGCCAAGACATATTTAATAGACTAAAGAATGATGTTAGCATAAATATAAATTATATTGGTTAATAGTATTTTTTCCAACAAAACAATGATCTGATGCAATCAGGGTTAGCTTTTGTATTATTTAAAGAAATGAAGAGCAAATTTATCAAAATTCCCAAATATCCCAGGTAAGCTCTTCCTTACAATCAGTAGGGGTGTCGAACTCAATCAGAGAAGGGGCCAAAATCTAAAATCCAGCCTAAATCGCGGGCCGAATGGTTTACTGAACAGTCATAAACTGTCATTGTGATGGAAACGCAGAGAAGTGAAGTGATGACAGCGCGGTGTGGGCCACATTGCAAGGCCTGGCGGGACGGATTTGGCCCTCGGGCCTTGTGTTTGACACATGTGCACTAGAGGCTTCAGCCCCATGTAAGCACACGGAGGTGCTGGGGAGCACTGCTTCCGGTATGGGAAGCACACAGCATTAGGAAGGAGTCTCTTCAGCGAGGTGCTAGAAAAACGCGAACACCTACATAAAAACCCCAAACTAGACACGGTCCGAGCATTTCCTACAGAAATTAACTCAAAACCTGGAAGCAACCGAGGCGCCCTGTAGCCGGTGACGGATGACTGGCCCAGCCACACAGTGGAATACTGCGAGTGCCAAAAGCCAGAAAGCCAGAGAGGAGTCTTAACCACATCCGACTACACGAAAGAAGCCAAGAGTGAGCCCTAAGGTAAAGGTGGCCTCTGGGGATTACGGGGTGTCACCGTAGGTCCATCCTTGGTTCTGGTGAGCGCTGTTGGCCAGGGGGGAGGGGACTATGCACGTGTGGGGTACGGCGTGTATGGGACATCTCTTTATCTCCCTCTCAATTTTGTTGTAAACCTAAAACTGCTCTAAAATAAAAAGCTGAACAATGCAGCACCGGACAGGCAGAGGCTGCGCCCTGAGCCCGTAGTTAACTTGGAGGAACTGTCCCCCAGGCACTGAAGCCCGGAGCTCAGGGAGGCCGGGTCCGGGCTGAATGGGGACCTGAGTCCAGTGTGCACCCAGCGTGCTGCTCTCGGTGCTGGCCTGGGGTGGTCACACAGGCTGAGTAGCTCCCTTGCCCGTCTCCCCACAGGATACAGTTTCTGGGAGTGTAACGGTCATTGGAGCAGGAGCACATGTATGTAACACAGGATTCTCAGGGCAGACACTGGGCAGGTGACCAGCCCGGACTAAGTCCGATAGCAGCTCAACGCTTGCGCTCACAGCCTTAGCGAAGAGCTGGGACCCCGGCGCCGCTGCCGCGCACTGGGAAGTGCTCCCAGCGCTTAGCCAGGAACGCTGCACCTGCAGGCGCGGGGCTCCGCTGCAGCCTGCCCAGCGCAGTTACGACAGCCCGGCACAGGCTCATCAGGCGCCGACCAGTCTCCGCTGCCTGCGCCCGGCCACAGCCACAGCCACAGCCACGGCAGCTTCCTCCACAGCTACCGTCTTATTCCCCCAACGGTGAGAAACAGCACTTGTTTCACCAAAACAGCTCTGTAAACAGTTTAACTGGAAGGGGTTCGTCCAAAAAGACCAAATATAAACCTGCCTTCAGGGAGCTAAAAACACTGCCTGGAAAGAGGCAGACAGTGTCACCAGGCCCCAGGCAGCAGTCTGGCACTGACTCGGAATGAAACCCTGCGATGGGAGAGACGCAGTCTGAAGAGGAGGAAACCCTGAGAGCCCCAGGTCTGACGCGGAAGCCCCTGAGCCATCATATGCTCCCCGAGCAAGCGTCTCAGTATTTAATTACGGCCAGGGGCGCAGGAGTTCTGCTCTTGACTGTAGCAATATTATTTAAATACAGTATAGAGCATTTATTACTTCTCCTTTCTAACTGTATTACTTTTTTATGGACACTGTGCATGGTTAAATCCCTATAAAGTATGCAGTATTATTCATCAACTTTTACAAGCCAAAGTATCCATTTTAAAAAATGCATCAAATTTAAAACAACCATCTCTTAAATGCTAAGCTGTGAAGTTTCTAAATATTTTGTACTAAAAAGCAAAATATATTTTAACAAATATATAACCCTCTATATTATTTACAAAACAATCTCAGAGAGCCCTACCTAGCCGGTTTGGCTGCGTGCTTAACGTGTCGGCCTGCAGACTGAGGGTCTTGGGTTTGATTCCGGTTGAGGGCACGCACCTCGGTTGCAGGCTCAATCCCTTGCCCCAGTTGGGGTGCATGTGAGAGGCAACCAATGGATGTCTCTCTTCCATTGATGTTTCTCTCCGTGTCTCTCTCTCCCCCTTTCACTCTCTCTAAAAATCAATGGAAAAGTGTCCTCGATGAGGATTAAAAAACCCCTAACATGCTCAGAGCTAACTGCATGGAACAAAATGTCATTAAATGAGCTTACTGATACAATGAACATTTTAGCTTTTAATGTGTTAATACAGAAAATGACCGCATGCAGTATCTTTTTCATAAATACACCAGTAATTAAGGCAAATAAACAGATAACCTAAGAAATGGAAACTAAAGATGAAAATTCTTGGCCAGCAGCTTGGCCATTTTAACAACCACAAATCTGGGCAAACGGTCTACAAATATGGCGCAATGATAATCTTTGTTTTATTTAAAAATATTTTTATTGATTTCAGAGTGAAAGGAAGAGGGAGAGAGAAACAGAAACATCAATGATGACAGAGAGTTACTGATTGGCTGCCTCCTGCACACCCCCCACTGGGGATCAAGCCTGCAACCCGGGCCTGTGCCCTGA